AAAATCAATAATACGCAATAAGAAGATGAAAATATACTATATAGACAAAGACATCTGAATTACAGTACAAGTACAATACTATGAGAAAAACACAGTTCTCCTCTCATAGCAAGAGAAAGTCCTTCATATCTCTTTGTAAAGTAAAACAAACTTGAGACGATAAGAAAAATGCACCATATTTTTCTTCTGTGTGAAGTTTGGAGACATGTGAGCTGTGATCTGTGATAAGACTACACCACAAATCATAAGAGTGATAATGAAAACATGCAGAGGAACTTTTCATCCCTTACCTCACCCTCTGTCAACGTTAATGTGATTCTTAGATGTGTAAACCCCCCCCCCCACCCCCCCATTTGGCTTTTCCGTACCAACCCGCCCGGCTGCGTGTGCAACAACATTCTGTCTCTGACGGAGCTGGCTCAGTGTTCAAGAGATTTCCCCTGACGATTCTCTGCCCATTGGCATTTGTTCACACGTGCAGATGGGCACTTTTGGGCCAGGCTGCCTGAAGAGGTGCGATTGTGTCCATGCCGACGGCTGCCAAGCCGCCACCGGGGAGTGCCGCTGTCTGCCAGGCTGGTGGGGTAAGCGACGACGTCCTCCTCGTGCCACTGCCAGTTTGGCTTCGGCATCACAGATAAGCCCGGTCCCAGGAGAACGAGGGGGCCACAGGTTTTACACCACGACGTTTATCTTCAAATTGAACTGTTCTGCAAGTTGGAGGGACGCCAGAGACACTTCAAATCACAAACACTTCAAATCAGCCACTGTTGATGCCATGCTTTGGAAAATAATCAGCATTCAGATCGATGGATAAAAACATGTAAACCCATCGAGTCTTGTGTTTAATGCAACAGTCATCAAAGATTCTCCACGATGAGAACTTTTTAAAGATTTTACTGTTTATACTTTTACTGAAGTAAGTGTATAGATGCAGGATTGGCTACATTTGATATTGTGATATTTTATTCAAATGAATGATTTGATTTCTTCTGGCATCCCCTCCGTCCCGTACAGTTCCACCGCTGTTCAATCAGGAGAGGCTTTAATTTTAAACTTTTTTATAAGTCCACCTCCAACACTGAGCTTTGTGACTTCACTGCTTCGTCCGTCATCGTCCATTTTATTTGTCCTGCAGGTTCCCGCTGTAGCGAGCCGTGCTCAGAGGGCATGTGGGGGAGCCACTGTAACCAGACCTGTTTCAAGCATTGCCCCAACAGCGAAACGTGCATTAGGGAAACTGGAGAGTGTGTGTGTCGTCCAGGCCACTGGGGAGTCACCTGTCAGAACAGTGAGTGTCATCAGTCGGCGGATACGTGACAGGAACTGGTTTATTTTTGAATTTATTGGACAGAGCAGAGAAACATCGAAACGCGTTGCTGGAACTATTGTAGGATTTCAAGCCGTTAACCTGACACACTGCATGATCCGTGATTGATCAGATCGATTGATTTATTGTGTAACATCAGCCTCACCTCACTGTGCTTTCCTTCATCTCCCAGAATGCCGAGCTGGTAAATACGGAGATCAGTGCAGCATGTCCTGTCCGTCCTGTGCGGAGTCGTACCGCTGCCACCATGTGACAGGAGAGTGTGACTGCCTGCCTGGATACACGGGACACAACTGTGATCAAGGTCGACTTTTACATCATCGATTAAAACCGTGCAGCTTTGTGCAAATTCTCCAAACTCACAGATTTGTGTTTTTCCACCACTGTCTGAGATTTTAGGTAGAAGAACGTCTTCATTCCGTCTCCAGGTGATTTGATAGTTTGTGTTGTGTGTTTTTCAGTTTGCCCGTCTGGCTTCTTTGGCAAACAGTGTTCTGAGGTGTGCGGAAACTGTGCCAACAACTCCACATGTGACCACAAGGACGGTCACTGTGAGTGTTTGCCTGGCTGGACCGCGACTGACTGCTCCAAACGTGAGTGACACGTGATTTCAAGTGACCACAGCCTCGATTAGGAGTCCGTTTGGGAGCAGGATTTTCATTTCACATTCAGATTCTGTGACACATTCAAATAGCCCCTGCTTGTGCTCACATTGCTCTGCTTGTGCTCAAACTGTCCACTTGAGTTCATTCAGCATCAGCTCTTCACCTCATGCTAGAGAATTTGGACAGACGTGTTACACAAAGAAATCCAAGAGCAGACACAGAAGCTGCATGAGCTCGAGGAGACGAGCTGAAGCACAGGACATTTGTCTATGCAACAAACAATAATGTTGTGAGGCACAGTTTGAGCCGCACAACATTATTTCCCTCGGTCCTTAGGTGAAAGGGGATAGGTTGCTTTCCGTTCTGAGTGTTATTACTTTTGTTAAAAACACACAGTCTCATAGGGATGCAACTGAAAATGATTTCCAACATCGATTAATCTACGGATCAGTTTTTTGTCACTGACCTAATTTTGTTATCCGAGACAAATTCCACCAATTTCCACAAAGTTTTGCGGAGTTGCTTCCCTTGTTGTTCTAACACCTGGATGTTTTTCAGCCTGTAGTCCAGGTCGGTTCGGATCGTTCTGTACTCAGACCTGCTCCTGTCCCAACGACCTCATCTGTGACCGATTCACCGGAGACTGCATTTGTGAGAGTGGAGACGACGACTGCAAACAAGGTACAGACACAGATACGTGGTCGCTCATTGTTAAATTTGCCTTCTTTATATTAACGCTGTGTGATTCAAGTCCTGAAAGTTGTGTCATCTGTGACTTGTGCACGGCTGGATGTCTTCATTTTCACCTCCCGCTCCCTGTTTGACAGACTCGTCCGAGCAGACGGGCAGCGTCATGGTCCCTCTTCCTCCTGGTGAGCGGGAGTCGTGGGGGGCCATCAGCGGCATCGTCGTGCTCGTCATCCTGGTGGTGCTGCTGCTGGCTCTGCTGCTCCTCTACCGCCGCAGGCAGAAGGACAAGCAGAACAACACGCCGACGGTTTCCTTCTCCACCAGCCGCACCGTCAACTCCGAATACGCTGTTCCAGGTAAAGCACAGAGGGGTTAGCCAAGAGATCTAAGATTTTATTTACTGAAGCTACATGAGATGATGTTTGTGATGAAAACGACAATGAAATGTATTTAAATCCAGGATGTCGTGGTTTTATAAACAGAAGTTGACACGTTTCCTGACTCAGTTTGACAAATTCAATATCTTTAAAATCTGATAAGAATTTATAAACTGGGCGATAGATCATTTAATAAAAGGCAAATTACTAAGAGGCCGTTATCAAACCATCGAGAGAAAGAAATGTAAATGAGTCTTGATATTTTACAGTTTAAACATAAACTTTATGATGAACTTTTACGCTCATGTAAACATAAATGAACATATTTTCTGTATTGTGGAGCAATGTGACGACCCAGATACAAGGACAGAGCCAATGATGCGACTCTGTTTTGATTTAGTAGTGGGCAGTATCCAGAAACTCAAAGGCAGAAGGTCAAAAAACACACTGCGGGAAAAAACGCTGGAGCACTGACAGGGAAAGTGAAAAAAAGTGAAAACACACTGAAGAGATGAACTGGCACAGCAGGAGGGGAAACACAGACATACAAAATACTAGCTAACAAGACAAACGATCAGATCTGGTCTCATGTTGTGAGAAACTAATTACCTGGAAGACAATGGGTTATAGGGAAGAGGACTAACAAGTCAACTCCAAAAGACAGAAGCCAGAAATGGTGGAAGGTTTGGCTTCAGGCCGTGAAAACGACATCCTATAGAAACATAAACGAAAACCGAGAAATCCCACAGACTTATGGAGGGTGTTCGTGGACGGACTATGGTCCTCAGGGAAAACTAAGATCTAAGAAGGAGAAGTTATCACAAAAGAAAGAAAAAAAAAGATGTAGGAAGGAAGTGAGAGACGAAAAAACTTCAAAATAAAACAGGAAAGTCCATCAACACGAGTCCAACGAAGTGCGATCAAAGTCCTGAATGGATTCTGTCCTTGTGTCTTGGTGTCATGGTTTTGTTATGTCATTGACCTCGAGGTAACTTTACAGCAGCAGAGTCCACGTGTTTGTTTTGGCCCACAGATGTTCCTTACAGCTACCACCACTACTACTCCAACCCCAGCTACCACACGCTGAGCCAGAACAGGCCTCCGCTGCCGCACCTCCCCAACAACCACGACTGCACCATCAAGGTGAACATCAGCTCCGTTACACACACACACACACACACACACACACACACACACACACACTGATCCGACGCTTCAGGCTGAAACGTTCAGGAATCACAGCAACTGGAACAAATGTGTAATTCATCCAGCCGACAACAGATGGACGTGTATTCAGGGACGTGGATTAGTTTGACACCATAAAAAATAGATGCAATAAACAGCTCTTGGCCATTTCTCAATGTCAAAAGCAAATTTGTATTTGGTGCATTTTCCTCACGTTGCTGATTTACGTTTTATTATCCTGTGTATCTTACAGAATACCAATAACCAGCTGTTCTGCAGCGTGAAAAACATGGAGCGGGAGAGAGGGGGGCTGTTTGGGGTTGAGAGCAACGCGACGCTGCCGGCCGACTGGAAACACCACGAGCCACGCAAAGACTCAGGTCCGTCTGGGGGGATGTTCTCGGGGGAGGGGGGGATTCACACGAAGGATCGGCTACTTCACATTTCAATCTTTTAAGCTGTTTTCAGACCAGCGGGTAAAGTCCGGAGAATCGAGTTTACTCAGAGTTTGCCTAGCAGCTGGTTTCCCGATGTTCTGAATAATCTGTAAATCTTACTTCTGTTGTGACTCTCTGCTCTCGATCCTAAACACATTTAAAAAATACCTGTATTGACATCAAAACCTCAAACTTGACAAAATACTCTCAACGCAAATCGATGTGGAGACGTCACAACATTAAAACCTTTTACACAGTCTGCACAGGAGTTTACCAAAGACTCCAGTCGACGATGTCCGTCTGATGAGTGACTATAAAAACACTCCATAAAACGCGACGGTTGCATCGCAGGCGTTCTCTCACCTGGGATTGATTTTGCAGGTTTTTCGAAGCGGCTCGTCTGCTTTTGATTCGTTTTCTGTCAATGGAATTCTAGATTTGTGTTTTATTGTTTACAGGAGCTTTTGGAATCGATCGGAGCTACAGCTACAGCGCCAGCCTTGGAAAATATTACGGCAAAGGTAGTTTATTGCCCTGTTTTCACCTTTTTTCCCCTTTTTCCTCGCTCCTATCAGTTACTACCGAGAAGTAGGAAAACAAAAACTAGTGAGAATATTTGCCACATGAAGAGTTTTATTAGTTTTTCTGTTAAAAACTCATTAATCATTACCTCTCCACTTGCTTTGGCTCCATGTGTAATCGTGAAATAGTCGGTTGGTTCGATACTTTGGTCCAGAATAAAATATCTCGACAATCACTGGATGGATGAGACAGAGTTAATGTTGCCCAGAGAGTTTTTCCTCTGGAGCCTCCAGCAAGAGAATTCATCTGGTTTGGGGAGTAAACAGATCACGTCAAAATCGAAATCTGATTCTACGGTTCACGGACAATGTTAGCATGCTAAAGTTAGTTGAAAAACTTTCCCAATCCGAAGCCTTGTTAGCATGCTAACACACTAATGACTAATCTGAGATGATTAACGTGTACCTGCTTGATGTCGCTGAAGCTAACATTGGCACGTTAGCACGCAGAGGATAGCATTCAGCTCAAACCTTAGCTAACGTTCAAGAGACGCTCGTTTTTTCACTAAATTAAAAAACTTTGACATTTGGGATCTACTAAAAAAGCAGCGTATGAAAATGTCTGGAACATTTATGCGATGATTAACTGTCCATCGAGTCAGTCCTCATGTTCTTCACGTCTTAACCTGTGTCTCTTGGCGTCCTGTGCGGTGGCAGAGCTGAAGGACATGGCGGCGGCGAGCAGCAGCTCTCTGAACAGCGAGAACCCTTACGCCACCATCAAAGACCTGCCGGGCCTTCCCTTCTGCCCCCCCGAGAGCAGCTACATGGAGATGAAGTCCGCCGTCCCCAGAGAGCGAGCGTACACCGAGATCAGCCCGCCGCCGTTCAACACGGCCACCTTACACAGAGGTGAAGAGAAAGGTTCGAACTCGGAATGAGTTTGAAAAGGTTCACGTCACGTGGCACCGACAACAGGGTGTTAGCACTTTCATTTTTTGGGCCTCAATAAAAAGGGACTTTTTAATATTTCATAAAATATTAGAAAATATTAAAACGTGCGACAGTTTCCTATAAAAAAAACAAACTTAAATGAAACTCTCTGTTGTGTCACATCAGGAAGTGTAATTCCTCGAGCAGCAGGACATCGTGAATATGCAGCGTCCGTCCACATTAATCGAAGGCAGACAGAGGACACTCGTATTTGAGACAGATGAGACTAAAGAGTTTGGTTAAAAATCTGAACCGTCTCAGATCAGAGTGTGGGTCAGTCGCACTGTGTGGGTGTGTGTTGGTGGTCTGTCCGACAGATGTGGAGGACGGACGTCCTCAGGGCTCAGCGGGGGGGATGGATGAACAAGTGTTTACAGGGAAGTGAAGAGAGGACGTGGTGGGGGGAAGTCTAGATCAGATAGGAAGCTGGAGAACTGAGGTCCAGGCTCCATTATGAAACACAGCCTGCAGATGTATCACGTCCTAGTCAACAAATCTCTCAGACCAGAACCCAAAGAGGGTGATGAGTGTTTTTCTATTTGATCAATGTAAAAGGCGGAACAAGTATTTTCTGATTTACACAGTATTAAATCTCATATCGGTCTATGTCGTTAATCTCCCCCCCCCCCACAGAGCGTCAGAGCTCCCTCGGCCACTCTTCACACGAGGACCCGCAGAGCCACTACGACCTCCCTGTGAACAGCCACATCCCGGGACACTACGACCTGCCACCAGTCCGCCGCCCGCCTTCCCCCACCCCGTCCCCCAGGAGAACACCTCAGTGACGCTCTGCTCCCTCCTCTTCCTCACCCCGGGGGGGGGGTGGTGGTGGTGATTTCCTGTGCTGTCAAGGAAAGAGCAAACCTCGTGCTCTGCTCTGACAATCAGAGCTGTTGACCTGCAGCTACAGAGCAGCAGCCAGGGGGCGTCCGTCCCACTGAGGAACTATTGTTTGCTGTGGATGCCCCCCCCCCCCCCCCATGTTTTTAACTCAACATTGCCCCTCTGTGGGCTGAGGTGGTACATGCTTCACCGTGACAGACCTGTCATCCAGTGTGGGGAGCCAGCAGCCTGCAGTGAGGAAGACTCTTAGCACCAAAGACCTTCACAGTCAAACTGAACTCATCCAAACATGCTGTAAATGAAGTTTGCTCGCCACTGATCAGCTGTTGTACATGTTCGATGCCCCTCCTTCCAGCAGAGATCTCACGTTTCTGCTTAATACTGTCATGGATTGAAGATTTCATTTGTTTTAAAATTTAAACCAGCTGGCAGCTTTGATTGAACTTCATCTGGACTTCTGCTCCTTGTTAAACCCTTTTATGAAAAACTTTTACAGATGCGTGGGTTCATGTCTTACCCGGAAAAACCAAATCATCGTTACAGATGAACGACCAAAAAGCATTTCTGTATCATATCAGCCGATGTCAGTTTCAATATTTCATCACCAGAAAGTCAAGAGTAACAGCATTTTACAATTAATCCATATATCGCTTCTTTTTTTTATTTTTAAACAAACGTGGCATTTAGAGACACTCGTGTGTCTCACCTCCTGCTGCTGTCAGATGAAACCTTTGTAAATATAGAATGAAATATATTGTTGTCCACGGGGATTTTGAAATGAACGTGTTGTTCGAGATATCATTTACATTTATGAATAGATACCAAAGGTCAGTGTGAACATTGTGACAATCAAACCACGGTCCAAACCAAAGCAAAGCAGCAAAATGAATGTTAACACAGAGTTCAGCAGTTTTTTATTCAAACAACACATTCACACAAAATACAGTTTTATAAAGTTTATTAATGTTTTTGAGAAATTTCAGCATGAACAGTTTTTATCTCGTATAAGCATCAGCATAGATAAATAGAAATGTGGTTATTGATTTTTATTCTTTATTCTTTCACTGGGGTGAGCACCACAAGTTAACTTCCCTTTACCTGAATAAGATAATTCAAAAACTAAAACAATCTGAATTAGATGATGCCACACATGACAACAATATCTTTATAAAATGGATTAATTTAATTGTTCAATCAGCCAATCACTCATTTTGCTGAAGATCCATGAATTAGTCTTGAAAATATCATAAAATTGCAATATTAAGGAAAGTGAGAAAAAACTCTTGGGACCTCACCCCTCCGACAAGTTTGAAGAAAATCCGTTCCGTCATTTTTGCTGTAATCCTGCTGACAAACAAACGAGGGATGAAAACTCAACCACAAGAAATCCGCAGATCTGCTTTTCAGTGTGTCATTTTTTTTTTACTATGTCTGTTTTCGTTCACCTGAGTGTCGTGTTGCCTTTAAATCATTTTCACAACGTTTGTCGTCTTTTAATCGATTCTGAGTCAAAGCTTCGTTATCCGGTCAGATAACAGAAACCCTGTTTACCACAGAGAATGTACGTTGAGCTTGAAACGCTGTAGGTTGGTGTAGAGCTTCAGCTTTTTTAAAAACACATGACCATATATTTTTGAATGTAACCATGGGAACATGTTGTGTATATACTGTAAATAAAAATGGCTGCACCTTTGATCAGTGACTGTGGAATAATGGAGGGAATGACCACGGACAGCGAGGGAGAGAAGAAAAGAGTTTTACTCTTTTATTTCTAGAAAACAAAAGACATTCATGACATCAACTGAATACATGGCTTTTTCCATAATCTTAATAGTCATTATCTGAAACAAATCCCACTTCAATCTAATTATAACTTTGGCATTAAACACTCGTAACAAGAAATCCCTTTTGGCAACATTCAAATCCTCAAGTCCTTCAAATGATTCACGAGGCCTCACGAGGATTTTTTTTTACAAAGGCCTTTCAAGTGTTTGAGTCACATATGACACATCTGTGGTTTGGGTCGGAGACACGAAGAGTTCTGGGTCTTCATTAACTCGGAATAATAACATTGCAGGCAAAATGTTTTTAATGTTTTTTTTTTTGCTCAGTCACACACAGGCCTCTGAGAAACCATGAACTTGACCTGTTCAGGGATGAGGGAGTTAACAGTTGAACACAGCTACATGCAGTAATCGTGACTCGTAACTTTACAAATGAAATACTGCGTCTGTGTCACTGAGGCCAAATGTGGTTTATCTTCAGAGCTCTCTGAAGATTCGTCGTTGACGTTTTAAGGCACTGTGGGCGTCATAATGTCAAGGAAACAAAAAGCATCTAAATGGCAGGAAAAACCATCTATTAGGTACAAAACAAAAATATCCAAAAACAGCCATCAAGTATTTTCCATAAATGCTTAGATATGCTTTTCTCTGGAGTACAAATGACCGAAGCTGCCAGACTACAGTATAAATCTAACTGCTGTGCATAGTTGGCGAGACCCTCAATAAAAGCAGTGCGTAAAGCCAAAGTCACAAAGTACACAAACCCCACAGTTTTCCTCGGATCCCAACGTCACGCCTGAGGATTTGCAAAGCCAGTAAGCTTAGTGGAAAAGAAGAAGCCCTCATGACCAGTTTTTAGGAGCCACACAAACCAGAGGACGGCTGAGAGTCACAAGACTGAGACATGTGACCAAGCAGCGAGTGTTCTCTTCTGTTGTACGAAGGTGCGTTTTAGATTTTTAATCTGTAAAAAAAAAATAAGAAGTTTCCGTTGCACTGTGTAAAAAGCTGCAGCGGTTCTCTTTTACAATAGTTTTTATTTGTTTGAATAAACAGAATTCCCATAAATATATTCTGCAAGTGCGGCACCAGACTTGTTAGTGAAGTCGACTCAAAATGTACCAACCCCTGATTTTTCCTACTTTGTTCTATCAAAAATCTTTGGAATTGCTTCAAGATTATAAGGCGACACATTTAAATGTACATTCTAGCTGAGACACGGAGATTTAAACCATTCAACTTATCCAACAACGAAAAAAATACAAATACACTTTTGAATCTTGTTGAAACTAAAGAGGAAAAAAATATATTCATCTCGAACTAGTACTTTTTTCTGTGCGCACCAGAGCTGCACAGATGTTAATCCACGAGTTTGTTGAAGGAGGAGATGAAACAAATCCTGCTCTACACCCTGAGTTCACAGTGCGTCGGCTTCCTTTGGACGACGTTCAGGAAAATAACCCCCGAAGCTAGTTTATCTTTTCTAAACCACAATACTATGCATAATATATTTAAACTGTAAACATAACCAGCATCTTTGAATAGAGATTAGCTGCATCTACCGGGAGATAAGCAACTTTAACAACGAACCCCACAGGATTCATTTCACCGTGGAGACGGATTCCTGACAGGGTTCACTAGCTGTGCGTGTTGAGTGTTGACAGCCTGGCCATTAAATGTGAAACCCCAGCTTGGATCGAAGCACAAGCACTGGTCGATGGAGCTGTGTGTGTGTGTGTGTGTGTGTGTGTGTGTGT